CTCTTCGTGCAGATTTGTCTAATTGATTTTCTCCATAAAGGTTGGAAATTGTTTGTAAACCTTACACTATAGAAGTATTTTAAAACTTTTGGAATAAAGTCAGAGCAGCTGAAGATAGTAAGAGTTGACATTATAGTAGAGGCAGTACTTAATATCATCTCATCTTTCCAAGCATATTGTGAAATTTATTTCAAGAAATAGGCATTAGGCAAAGGTATATGTGTATATTCTTACGAAGCCATGAACACTTAACATAAAATCAAATAATTTATATAAAAAGGAAGGGCAGACAAAAGAGTACATATGAAGAGAAACCAGAGCAACCAGAGTTCTGGAAAAAAATGAATAAAAATACTGACTGAGACCCTGGAAAAGAAACCAGATAAAAATGCTGAAACACTGGAAAAGAGATAATCAGAACTTCAGGTATGATCAAAGCAGTGATAAAAATAAAAACAAGAGGCCCATGGGCCACATCGCTCACCTGAGAAGCTTTGACCATTCCGTTCTTTACCAGATTTCCCCCCTTGTAATACATATAATGACCCCACCCTACCCCACTGATCTTGATTTAGACAATTTGAAATCTACACTACCATAGGATGCTTTGATTCAACATTGTAAAACTGTATTTCCCATTGTGGCCCCATCCTACCCCCGGGGGTCATGATTAGAACAATTTAGAATCTACACTATCCCAGGATGCTTCCACATAGTTTCTGCTTTTCTGGCCCAGTGGTTCTTGAGAAGAAGATTTTTCCTATATATTTCTATGTAAAAATTTGATTCCCCATTGTGGCCGCGCCATATCCCCGGGGGTCATGATTTTAACAATTTAGAACCTGCTCTACCTAAGTATGCTCCCACATAAGTTTCAGCTTTTCTGGCCCAGTGGTTCTTGAGAAGAAGATTTTTAAGATTTTCCTATATATTTCTATGTAAAACTTTGATTCCCCCATTGTGGCCGCGCCCTATCCCCAGGGGTCATGATTTTTACAATTTTAGAATCTACACTTATGACCCCAGGATGCTTCCACATAAGTTTCAGCTTTTCTGGCCCAGTGGTTCTTGAGAAGAAGATTTTTTAATGACCCCACCCTATTTTTGCCTTTTCTTGATTATCTCCCCTTGTGAAAGGACTTGGCCCTTAATTTTCATAATTTAAATTCCCCTTCACCCAAGGAGGCTTTGTACCAAGTTTGGTCAAAATTGGCCCAGTGGTTCTTGAGAAGTCGAAAATGTGAAAAGTTTCAGACGAACAGACGGACAGACAGCTAGACAAACGGATCGGACAAAATGTGATCAGAAAAGCTCACTTGAGCCTTTGGCTCAGGTGAGCTAAAAAAACTAAATTTGACCAAAAAATGTAAAAGATGAATATCAGTACAACATATAGGTGATGTTTTGGTTATAATTGATCCTCCACATCCTGTAGGTAGGAATTATTAAATAGATAACCCAGTGTAGAAGGAGGCTGTATGTAAAACAAAACAAATGAAATGAGATGTCCTTTGTGTTACCTTTTGTCTTTGGTGTTACAACTTTTTTTTGGACATACAAATACTTGTACATGCACCAATCAATGATTCTAGGTCCTATGATAGTAATCCTGCATTATTCATGCATAACTTATTTTTATTTTTTGTTGATGTTTACATATCTTTATAATTGGACAATATGTCTATATTGTTACTTTTTAATCATTGGTGTTACTAGTCAGACTCCAAATGTAAAAAGACATGAAATCCCAAGCAATTTTTTTCTTAAAATCATATACTTTCATTTACATCTATTAGATAATGCCATTGTTGTGCTTTTTGCGGGGGAAGGGGAACAAATTTATTATTTATTCTTAAGGTTTGAACAAAACGTCTTTTGTGTTACTTTTATGTCCTTTGTGTTACGAAAATGTCCTTGGTGTTATTCAACCATTTTTTCTGAATCTATATTCTAAATCTTTCCACAATTTTATCAAAACTTGCTACACAACCCTGCTGTCTTCTAATACGAAGTATATTTGTAAAGCCAGTGTTTCATGCTGAGGTAAAATGATATATGCTTAAGGTTTATATGTAAGAATAACCAAATTTTATAATTTCAACAACTTTCAGCTTCATGTCATCTTAAGGGGGCTCTCTACAACGTCACAACATGGCGTACTTCCGTAAAAACGCCATTTTGATCCCAAATGATCAGATTCAAATTCACTAAACACAGATAAATCACTGAGTATAACACAACATGCGATATTGTGGATGGAATGTACATTATCAATTAATACAGTGTATGCCCAATACGTATCCTTTCTTTAAAAATGAATTGTTTGTCAATTTATTCAATTTCTACTTATTTAATTATTAACTAAAACATTTACAAACTTATTAGAATAAGATTTTTAGATGAGAAAAAAATTATATAAAACATGGCTTGTCCATATGCTAATTCACCATTACGTGTCAAAACGCCATACACACAGAAATTTATTTCTCCAATAAGCATATATGCTTTTCAGCAAAATATTTCCCCCCAAAAATGCAAATTGATAAGATAAGACATATGTATTATCTTCCCATCGACTAGAGGATACTCTGTTCTCGATTTGTATACACCCGAATGAATGGTTATACCCGGTGAAATTTGGCATGACCCAAACGTTTGATCACCATTGATTGTCAGCTGTTTACAAGTATGGGAAACGTGCAGCTTTTAGACGAAGTGTGCATTTGGTTATAGGAATTTCTTTTACCGCTTTTGGCCATTTACCATCTTAACTTGTTTTGTTATATATAGCACTGAATAACACATGCAAGTTGGATAAAAACGGTAAGTATAAATCTACCTTTCTCAATACCATGAATTCACTAAATACATGTCTTTGTCATTGACTGGAAACGCGATGATTTTCGCTTAAACTCATTGAAAAACAATACATGTACAATACGAACTTCTTTCAATGTCCTTGCGTGACATTTGTTTAATACTTGTGCAAGTAGAGTTTATTTGAAGTTTATATAAAAAAAACAGTACCAAGATATTTGAGTCCACTCTTAAAGCGGATCTCTCACACCTGAATTTTTGTGATGTTTATAAATTTTTGACAGTTTTTCAATTTTTTTCAATTTCTTTTTTTCATTGTTTTTACCCTTTGATATTATATTTCTTTTCAGATATTGAAGAAGATCCAACCAGCTATTCTCAAGAATATACTGTTTAAGTTTTTTCTTTTGTCTATTTTTGTAAATTTAAATAAAAGTTATGTTGATTTTATTTTTATCTTTGTTGATTATTATTTCAATATTTTATAACACTAAACTTTGAAGAGAAATTTAAAGCACTGGGCTTTTAAAAATATAGATAGGAGGGATTTTAACAAAATAAATAAAATATTTCAAATATTTCTTAAAAATAAATTGAAGTACTTTGGAACTTTATTTTATCGGATATGGGGCCTATTATTAGAAACAAATGCATGCAACAAAAGTCAGTTATACTTTATAGGTGTAGAGAGCCCCCTTAAATTTCTCTCTCAAGAACCCTAAGTTTGTTTTGATAGAATATTTTTGATCAGGATGTTTAGATTATGATTCTAGAAACCTTAAGTTTGCATAAGTTATTATTTTATTGCGATTTCTAAGTAAGTAACACCATGGACATTTATTGTTGGATGCATGTACTTATAGTGGATTTTATAGTAAATGTTGATTGAATTCTTAGTGTTTATACATTATTTACACATCACTGATGTTTCAATACTAACATAAAACTTAAAAGTATTCAGTTTTCAGGATTTATTTCTCTGAATTCTGTTGATGGAATCTGGACAAAGTTTGAGAATGACCCACATAATGAATAGAGCCCCGCCCTAACACCAGAACCCCTGACCCCAAATCTGAAAGAGGCACTCTTGCTCATCATAACTATGTACTTCATTTGTTTATTTGATACCCAGGAGCAGAGAAGAAAATTTTCAAAGAATTAATGCATTTTCACTATATAATCAATAGAGCCCCACCCTAGCATTACCCCTGCGAGGTGAAATTCATAATTTCAGGAACTTTTATGAATCGTTCATGAACATTCATGATGTGTTCATGAACGGTTCATGACTGGTTCATAAAGATGGTTCATGAACTTTATTCATGAATATATTCATAAAATGTAGTTCATGAACAAATGATGAATTTATATGAATATTGGTAATTTTCATTTTAAAGACAGAAAAAATGTAGAGTTCAAGGTATTATGAATGTTCATGAATTTTCATGAAGACTAAAATAATTGACAAAAATGATTGACAGAAAACACTCATTACTCTCATAATGCAACTTTTGCATGCAGATGCAATTGTTGAACAAGCCCCTGGCATAATTTATATTTAATAACATTCTTTCACCAACTATCTGAAAAAATAAATCATGAAATCTCTAAACATTTCGTGTTTTTCTTTAATTTTAATTAAACAAACACTGCATCACCACTGACAGCATTTTTTTCAAATTGATTATTTATGTTTCTTCATAATTTAAATTAAACAGTTATATTCATCATAATGTGCTTTAAATAATGTCATTTTTCATCACACAACTTTTTTTCGACCGAATTTTCTCCAACATCAAACTTTAAGCAAGTTGCAAAATAAAAAATTCACAGTTTCTTTTACAATGTTTTTTGAGACAAATATAAAGCATATACCACTCAGATGTACAATATAAGCACACTTTTTAAAATGTATGTATTCTCAATGAAACTGCAAAGTATTTTACATCAAAGGTTATTAACAGATATATCCAAGAAAAAATAAGATTACTGGGGGATCACCTTGGTTAAATTAATGATAATCAAGTTATGATATACATGTAATGCAGTAAACTAAAGTATGCATTTTTTTTTAAATAAGAGGTTAGATTCATTAAATGACATTGGCCAAGGATTGGGAGAGGTCATTGAAACCTCAACAGGATATACATTTACAATAAAGTGCCAGTGGCCCATGTACATTTACTGTACAAAATTAGTGACTAGAGTGACAAACACATGTATTAAATGCAAAAATATATGTAGTACACAACTACATTGATACAAAGATCCCATAAAAATGAACAGTTGCTATTTTCCACCAATGTACGTGCCAAAGATCCCAATTATGGAAGATACAAAACTTCTGACATGTTGCTAGAATCACATCCTCACAGATATCCCATGAAATTTGCAATAGAGGGTTGACAGATATTTGGCATCACCAACGGATTCACTTTTAGTACGAAGGCTCAGCAAGTTCGATGTTGATCATTCAAACAGACACTTCAAACTTCCCTTGCACAATTTCTGAAAGAGATGACCATTTAAGATGTATCATTATTGATATCAGTATAAATATATGACAAATAATAAACTAAAGCTCTACAAACAATTGTTCTTTTCTACCTGGCAGATCAGTTTACTGTAGAATATGAATTCACTGTCTTGCAATTTTTTGTTCAAATTAGGATTAATTCTGATATTAAAATGTAAAAATGTGAAAAGTTTATAGACAACAGACAAACACAAGACTGTGACACTGATCAAAAAACTCACTTAGGCCTTAAAATGGCTCAGGTGAGCTTAAATGAAAAGGCTAGAGCTGAAGCTCAATGACTGACTAACATTGAAAAAAATTAATTTCAATTCATGTGATTTTATTGATTAATAAAATAATGAAGAAATCTTACCATTTTTTTTATACAGTTCTTGTCCTAACTCTTGTGAGCATCCGGATTCCTGTAAAATGCATGTATACTTCATAGAAGATGATATCTTTGATTAAATTTGATCCAAAATAATTATACATACCCATGCTGTTAGCATGTTTAGATTACCTTTCAGAATTCATTGTTAAAAATAATAAGGATATGGAAATTAGGCATGTTAAGAATATAAATCTTTAAATGTTGTTTACTTGGCATAGTTGCAATATTTATTTTAATCTTATGCTTAAAGACATAGATTAATAAAATCAAAGTTAGTTTATTTGTTTTGAATGATAATTTGAGCTGGTTCTCACCATATTCACAAGCCTAGTGACTGATTGGCTATTTAGCATCTACATCTGTTTATCAAATGCCAGGGCTGTGAAAATCATCTCAGGCAATGCAGCAACTATTAAAACAATCAAAACATGCAAGATAAGAGCTGAAAATGGTCATGAACATGCATTACAAAATATATAATTAATTACATGTACATCATACTCTGTAAATGTTATCTTGAACAAAGGAAGGTACAGGTAAAATTCTTTACATCAGTTTGATTCCAAGCAAGGAAATTCGGGTTAAAATCAATGACCTTAATGATATGTATAGATTTGTTAAATAATGATTACAGAAATAGTGCTTGTCCTAACGATTTCACCGTCGAGCATTTTATGTATGGTGCCAGGATTAATCAAAAGTAGCAGAAACATTCTTCGTACGAGGACACATAAAATACTGTACAATATTGTACCTACCGGTCTTAAAAATGTCGTCATCTTCTTCCATCCCAAGCTGACCATGATCCCCCTGTTCGTGACACTCATTCCAACTTTCCTACTGTGGAACATCAACATGGTATTCGATATTTTTGAATTTCGGTGTTGTTAAAATTAATTGTTCATCGAGCCCGACTTCGATCCCGATGTTATTGTAATATTAGTCCAATTTAATTGATGACGTAAAAAGTTCGAATTCTTCATTGATAAAACTTGTTTTGATATAAAAAAAAATTGTATTTTCAGTGAAAAATTATTCAGATAGTGTTTGTTATTTTTTTAAAAAGAAATCTTGGAAATTCGAAACTAACGTATTTCTTAGCTCTACCGTACATTTTTGAAAAGGCGCAAATCTTGAAAACGCGCAAGACGTTGGAAGTGGGAATTTGGAGAGTGGAAGGATCGGTATTTGTGATCTATAATATTTGCATAGTCACTGATCTTTGTCAACTTTTAAAGAAAATAACAGAATATGAAGAAGGAAGACTATATAGGATTGATCTACTTCATAACTGGTGAGTGACAAAAAATGGAGGCAATCACTGAGTCAGAAATCTTTCTGTAAATGTTACTGTCTATTTGTAAAATTAATAAATATGTCTTTTTTTTAAAATGAAAGTTTTGTCTAACTTTGCTTCGAGTTTGGATCCAACCATATAACATACATTAATTATAGACTGAGACTCGAAACATTCATAGGCCTGATTGATCTACAAAATGGCGGTAGAAAATAGGCTTAAATTCCATTCAGAATGTTTTAATTTGGAAGTGCCTCTGATGCAAAATTAAAATGCAAGAAAATACACAAAAAAGTCTTATGTTTTACAATCATGGGTAATTTCAGAAAATCTTTCTTTTTGAAGGAAAGAGAAGCAGTTCACAAATGTTGATGAGCAGAAGACAAGAAACTCTGGCTGCAAAAAAAAATCTTAGCTCTTGAAAAAGAAAGAAAAAAAGAAATGAAAATATGAATGATATTCATTCAAAGGATCCAAATGACGAAATTCTGGAAATTCCACATGGAGAGACAATATTAAGGATTTTTGAATTGACCATCTCTGCTATAAGAACTGCTTGAAAGCTGTTACCCTGGTGCTGAACAAACTTTTCACCTAGACTGTAATTAAAAATTGTTCAATTTCTGGCATTAAAACACAATTTGAAATATGCTGAGGAAGGATCCCCCTCTCCTTTTTGACCAAGTAAGGTTAAACATTCTGCAAGGAGTTGCATTTGAATTGAAATTTTTTATACTTTACCAGGAATGAACTACATTACTCATTTACTATGGTTTAGTGAGTCAGAATTGTCTATTTTAAGTTTTTTGACAAAGATTTTGTTGCCATGGTTGGAAAACAAACAACATTTCTGTGAAATCTTTCAAGATGCTGTATTATAAATCATCTACTGTTACTTTTTTAGCATGACTTCATGCATTTTCACGAATAAACATGAATAATAATATTGGATTTTTTGTTTACAAATAAGCAAGAATATTCATGAATGCTAATGGTTCATGAATTTTATTCATTCATGAACATTCCTGAAAAAATTCATCAGATTATTCATGAATAGTTCATGAAGATGCAATGAACTTGTTATTGGACATTCTTGAAATGATGAATCTTCATGAATATGACTGTTCATGAATTATTCATGAAAAAAAATATTCATGAATATTCATCAATTTTCTTTCATGAATAAAAATTCATGATTTGAAAATGTCCAATAATAAGTTCATAGGATCTTCATGAACATTTCATGAAGATTTCATGAATAAAATTCATGAAAAATTCAAGGAAATTCATGAATTATTCATGATCGTCTCGCAGGGGTAGAACCCCTGACCCTGGGGCCATGAATTTCGGTAGAGGACCCAATTTTGGTAGAGGACTCAATGCTGATTACAACCATATCAACAGTTTGACTGCTTGATGTACAAGAGTAAAAAAGAAGATTTTTAAAGATTGCACTAATTTTAGTGGTTTTGGCCCCACCCCCAAGGCCCAAGAGGGGCAGGAACCATGAAATTCACAATTTTTGTTCCCCTACACCCATAGATGCTGTATGCCAAAATTGGTTGAAATTGGTTCAGTGGTTTCAGAGAAGAAGCTGAAAATGTTCAAATGTTAGCACACGACGCATGACGACAGACGAAAACGGATAGCAATAGGTCACCTGAGTATACTCAGGTGACCTAAAAATGAATCTATCATAAACTACAGAGTAGACTTAAACAGAGTTATCACTTTGCATACTACCTTAATATTTCACAGTCAAAAACTTAAAACAAATAAAATTCTTACTTATAATATTCAGTCTGATAATATTACTAGATTGATTTCCTCCAAATGCTGGTCTACAGGAAACTTCCTGATTATGCCATGATCGTTCAGGAATAACAGAAATAAGAAACGTTGTGTCATTCTCGCATTGTACTTTTTCTATAATACAAAATTTTTTCCCACAATTTGATTTATCAAATGAGCAACTTTTTCCTGGTGCATATCGAAACTGAACTGCAGCTGGTATGTTGGAAAAGGTACACTGAAATGTCACCGTCTGATTTACTATGATCTTCGGTGGTGAATAGATAGAAATGGTTATCTCTCCTGGAAGAAAAACAAACAAATTTGCTTAAAACAAAATTTGCAGACATTTACCTATTGAAATCACAAAATTTTACCAAAAGCAATACTTGTAACTTAATTGAATTGCAAAACATACAATTTTTAACACTGTATATAACCCTTCCACAAGACTAACTAAAGTCTAAGCATTTTGATAACATAAACAATTTTTTCAACACAGATGAAAAATTCATTAGTTTACTGACCTTGACACTATAATAATATTCCAAATTATTTTGTGATAAATATTCTGATTGTACACATAGCTACTCTCTCTCTTTCTCTCTCTCTGCATTTCCACTACTTAATCACTAGAACCCCTGACCCAAGAGCCTTAAAATTCATAATTTAGGAAAGGGCACCTTTCCTCATAATAATAAGTTGCATATATAGTTTATTGGCTTAATACTCAAGAGCAGAGGATAAGATTTTCAAAGAAATATTGCATTTCCCTATATAATCATTAGAGCTCCGCCCTATTACACCAGAACACCTGACCCAAGGGCCATGAAATTCACAATTTTGGAAGAGGCAGCCTTCCTCATGATAACTATAAAGTGTGTTTGTTTAATACCCAGGAGCAGAGAAGATTTTCAAAGAAGTACAAGTACTGCATTTTAACTATATAATCTTTATAGCCCCACCATAGCACTGGAGCCCCTGAAGCTGGGGCCATGAATTTCACAATTATCGTGGTAGAGGACTCAATGCTTACTACAACATGCACAACAAAAGATGAACACTGACAGACAAAAACGTATAGCAATAGGTTATCTGAGTGACTCACATGTCACCGGAAAATCATTTAATATCCTGAATGGGTTTATAACAGATATTAATCCCATCTTTAAGTACAGGTATTAATATTTCTTGGAATAACTAATTTTAAAAATTGTTACCCAATAATTACACTTGTATTTCTGCAAGATTATAGTTACGTTTACAGATTGTCTGTACAAAAATATTTTCCCATGTATAGTAAAACCTTTTAATATTGTCTGTTTTCTGTCACAAGATGAAACACACCCTTTAAGTTTGGCTTAATGGTGGCTTAAAGGTCCTTAATGGTGGTTTAATGGTTGTCTTTAAGTCACCATTAATTCACCATTAAGCACCTTTAAGTAACATTTACACCACCATTAAGTTACCATTAAGCAATCTCAAAGTCCTTAATGGGTGCTTAAATGTAGCTTAATGGTAGCTTAATGGTGGCTTACAGGTCCTTAATGGTAGCTTTTAGACCACCATTAAGTCACCATTAAGCTACCATTAAGCTAGACTTACAGGTGCTTAATGTCCAAACTCCATTAAGCTACATTAAGCTACCATTAAGCCACCATTAAGCAGTCGATATTACTGTTTTTATGGGTGAAAAATTATTAAGGTCTTCCGTCTTCACGGAAGACCTTATAGTTATTGCTCTGTTTCTTCTTATTATTAAGGTCTTCCGTCTTCACGGAAGACCTTATAGTGATTCTACTGTTTCTTATTATTAAGGTCTTCCGTCTTCACGGAAGACCTTATAGTTATTGCTCTGTTTCTTATTAAGGTCTTCCGTCTTCACGGAAGACCTTATAGTGATTCTATTGTTTCTTATTATTATTATTATTCTTTTTATTATTTTTTTGACTTTTTAATTTTGTGCACGCGATTTCTCGAAAACTACTGGATGAAATGACGTGAAATTTTCAGAAATAATGTGTCGTAACATGAATTTTATATATCCGGGAGATTTTTTGGAAATTCGCTTCCGGTGCCAAGTTACGGACAATTTCCTGAAATTAAAATGACATTTTGTCCGCGATTAAACTCAAAAACAGTAAAAGATATCAACATGAAACTTTCAAGGATTAGGCCATACCAATTTGTAAAATAGTTCTTCGGATTTTCAAAAATAAAAAGTGAGGCGAGCGAGCGAAATTTTTTTATAAATATTATTTTTTATTTTGGGTTTCAAAATTATGAGGCGAGCGAATATAATTAATATTTTATATATTTTAATTAAGTGTGTTTTCAAAGAGCTTGAACCTAAAAAATTAAGATAGATATCATTTGCATACCACATGAACTTATCATTCTTAACTTTTTGGAGATTTTTTTTAATAAGTAAAAATGTGTCAAATTTCAAAGACTTTACTTTCATAAATGTAATGTTTTCAAACATCTCCTCTGCTTCCATTTCTATTGCTGTGTATGAAACAACTTTGTACCCATTGTTTTTAACTATAGTACACAGTGTTGTGCAATTAAAAAAATCAAGTACTAGAAAGAAATTAATTGCTGATAAAAGTCAGGGTACTGAGGTCATTCTTTTTAAAGTCAGAGTTTAAATTCTCAATATCAAATTCAGTCATGTTTAAATTTTTATGAAATAAAATTAAAAGGAACTTCAATAAATTATCTTCCTTTTCTCTGATCATTGCACTAGCTCATTTAGAATGAAATTAAATTCATTTTGTTTTCATCTTAAATCATTCAAAAAAGAAATATATTTTATGTGAGTCACAAAACACTTATCTTTCAGTTGATTGAGTGATCGTAAATAATTTAAAGATATTGCTGCATGTATTTACCATAAACGGAGGAACAGAGGAAATTCGGATTAGGAAAAAACGATCGCTTTTGGAA